CTGCCGCTTTCCCTCAAAAGTAAAACTAAAGCTTCGTTACTGTCGTAGTGTGATGTTTTTCTTCCATGCGGTGGACCGGACATGCAAGTTACATACAGGTGGCATTCCAATCAAACTTCTTGGTGCTTAGCAAAGGTAACACGTGTAGCAGCAATAAGAAAGCCAAGTGAGCCCTCTAGTTGCCTCTGGTTTAACTTGCCACGTTGAGACTTGGGGGCCCACCTCCTCATTGAATGAGGGTAACTTGTAGGGCAAGAGTTCCTAATCAGCAGAAGAAAGATACAACTTTTCGCAGTGCGTTATTCTTTACCAAACTCGGGCATCATTTTACCCACCCAAACCCAAGTGCCAAGCAGCACAGACACTACCTGTTCTCCAGATCCGAGCCACCAGTCAGGCAGCCACACCATCGATCGTTCGACTAGTCGACCCTCCTCATCAACCCTTCGAACCTTCGACCTGTTACCTTTCGAACCCTTTTACGCCCACCCCGATCTCTTCTTCCTCTAGTCCTCATAAATTAAAAACTGGTTTTTTCCTTATAATCTACGTGGGGAAAACAAATTGGATTAGTCGGCGCCACTCATGAGCTACATTAGCAAACTAAAGATTTTGATGGAATTCAAACTGAAGGACAATATTAATGCATGGTTGTTAAGTTGATGAATGACATTGGTCGAAATTGAGAGACCAAAATGAGGAGGGATTGTCAACGTTTTCTAATATAAAGGATTTTTAACGATGTAGTTTCTTTCGGGTGCAAAAAATGGCACAAACTCAAGAACTCAGCTATGCTTTGTGAACTTTCTGCACCAGTAGGCTTCTTTGTCCACCTAACGTCATTGAAGAATCATATAGAACATTTTATTTAAAATAGAAAACGTGAGTTCGATATACAATTCACTTCAAAGTAGGCAAGGAAGAGTAGACAAAGTTTGCCTATTCGATTGCCTATATTATTGGAGCAAGATTTTATTTATGTGACTCATCGAATCATGTTTGCCTACCACTGAACAAAGATGGACTAACTTGTGAAATCATGGAGTACCCTCTATCTATCTTGACATATGTTTTCAACTCCATTGAAGGTAATGATAAAAAGGAAACAGCATGAAAGCGATGATTAATCAAGGAATTCGTCAAGTTCTACGGCACGGCTAAGTCCTTGGTTACTTTGAAAGATTGGATATTTTCCAAGAGTGGCTGTTCTTAATTACTTTAGGATAATTCTCATCAGATGCTAATCAGATGCCTGCCAATATCCTCATCCGATAAAAAGGTGTCCACTCTTTATATTTGTATTGACCATTTGACCGTTGATTCCTTGATTCTTTGCTTGCACGTGTGGTCAACGTGACACCTTGACATTTCTATCTGTCGTCTTCCTTTTAATGCTTTTGATTCAAACCTATAAGTAGAACAATTTTAATCGTGCAAGTTTCTACAATATAGAGGAACTTGATGGCGTGTTTGTCTGTTGCATGGAAAAAATGACTGGGACCTGGTTTTGCTCTCCATGTATCTTACAAATAAACAAAACAAAAACAAAAAAGTTTAAAAAAAATGCAATGTATGCATATGCTTTTTGTGTGGGCCTAAATAAAAATAAATAAATAAATCTGTTATAAAGCTAAATTATTTTTAGGAAGCTTTAATGAAAAGGATTTGGATTAAATTTAACTTAACAAAAAAATCATCCTAAACTATTATTTAACCAAAAAGATTTCATATATTATCATAAGGACAAACTAACTTATATTAGGCCCTACAAACAGTAAAATATGCGGGCTAAATTAAAAAGCCCAACGTGCAATAATTTTTTTTTTTTACAGCCATGCCCCTGACAGAAACTTCATTCAGTCAGTCCAATTCCGTTAAATAAACTTTCCTTTATTTACAAGCATGCCACTACCTCATCAAAACCTAAATATCATTCTATCAGAAATAAATAATAATGGTCATAGTAGTGACCAACCAAAATCTACAAACGCACATGGAGAGAGAGAGAGAGAAAGAGAGAGAGAGAGAGAAACAATAACAGTTTCATAGAGCGAATGATAAGGATGGAAAGGAATGAATCACAACTCAGAAATAAAAATAAAAACAAATAAAAAATCAGAAGAAATTCATCGGCATTAGAGAATCAAATCGAATTGGAAGATCGCATTCCCAAGCAAGGAAGCTTCAAAAAAGTCACGCAATATGGCCGTATTGTCGTACGAAACGCCGTGATTCAGAGACCATTACCTCTTCAGCAAAAAATTGGGCCAAGGCAATTCGGCACCACCTACTTCTACAGCCACAAGTTCACCGACACCCAATTCGACTGCATGTCCATCCCCAAGCGCAAGCTCCTCTGCCAGGGGGACTACGACGACATCTAGAGGGAGATTCAGATCATGCACCACCTCTCCGAGCACCCAACCATCATCCAGATCAAGGGCACCTACGAGAACTCGGTGTCCGTGCACCTCGTCATGGAGATCAAGTCCGTCTCCTATAAGCCAAGTTAAGCTTCATTTCCTTCATTTACAGATCAAATCCACTTTTACACTATGTTTGAATGAAGAAGTTTAAGATTACTAAGGAATTTTAAAATGACAGAAATTGAAATGACAAGATTTTATTTTCAAGAATTTGTAAATTTTCTTGTTTGGTTAATCTAAAAGAACAATGGAATTGAATACTGAATTTGTTATTTTTAACCTCTAAATCATAGAAATTAGGAAATGACACATATTTACATAGAATTTGAACTTGGGAATTGAAGGTCTCAAATTCCAAGTTTTTTTTCTACGCGGAAATTCTAAATTTCCATGTTTATGAATCCAAACAAGGAAATTGATGCATGTTAATTTATAAATTCTGACTTTTACCAAAATTCCAAGCTTATTTCCCTCATCCAAACATAGTGTTACTTGTTCTTTCTTTTTATTGGAATTGGAAATTGAAATGTTGGTCTGCCATTGATTTTGAAAATTTTAATGATAATTTATTAAACTATTTAATTTGCTGAATTGAATTTCTTGTGCCTTGTTGTGTACTCAATCATTAGGATTGCTTGATTTATACATACATACACATTGTTATTGGTTGAACAAACATAAACTCAGCGGCTCCACCTACGAGGGAGGGCAAAAGAGATATTTACCAAATATTGTATTTTTCTGAATGCCATGTTTGGAAGTTTCCAAATTTATTTAGAAATTTCTTCTACATTGCGCCTAGAGTCTTTTAGAACTATAAGAAATAATGTGTGTTTTCTTCACTTTCATAAATAGTGTATAATTTTGTAATAGTTCCATCAAAGTATGCATTACCTTTGGTTCAAATCCAGAATTAGTGTGAGTTATTTTGTTCTAGTTACAAAAATAGTGTTTAATTTGTTATTTTTCATAACTAGTGTGAGTTATTTTGGATTACTTTCAGAAATAGTATGTGTTATTGTGTTTTAGTTCTAGAAATAGTGTGAGTTATTTTGGTTCACTTTCAGAAATAGTGTAGGTTAAAATGTTGTATTTCCAAAAATAGTATGGGTTATTATGGTTTACTTTAAAAAATAATGTGGGTTATTTTGTTGTAGTCAAGAAATAGTGGTTCACTTGCAAAAATAGTGTGAGTTATTTTGTTATAGTTCAAGAAATAGTGTTTATTTTGCTCCTTACATAAACAATGTGTTACTTTGGTTCGGTTTCATAAATAGTGTGAGATTTTTGTTGTAGTTCCAAAAATAGTATGAGCTATTTTAGTTCAATTTCATAAATAGTGATAGTTTTTTGTTGTAATTCCAGAAATAGTATGAGCTATTTTGGTTCGGTTTCATAAATAGTGAGTTTTTTTGTTGTAGTTCCAAAAATAGTAAGAGTTATTTTAAATAATGTTGATTATTTTGCTGCAATTCTAGAAATAATGTTTATTTTGTCACCTTCCAAACACAGTGTGGGTTATTTTGATTCATTTCATTTACAGTGTTGTTTTACTCTTTTATGAAAAGGACTTGGACTAAGTCTATTTTAACCAAAAATCATGCTATAACTTTATTTAATGAAAAAAATTTAAATATTAATGAAAAACCCTTAAATTTTAATAAAAAGAAAAAAGAACTTAAATTTTAATAAAAATGGCACAATTTTAATATAAACAAATTAAAAAAAAAAAAAGATCTGACACGTGCTGGACCCGTGCGTCCATCACATACATTGTTTATGAAACTATACACTCTTTATGAAACTAGACTAAGAACTATTCACTATTTATGAAACATGATCAAGAACTAGACACTATTTATGAAACTGTACTACACTATTTATGAAACTGGATCCAATAACTACGCACTATTTATAAAACATGACCAAGAACTAGGCACTATTTATGAAACTTATTACACTATTTATAAAACTTACGACACTGTTTATGAAACGTACTACACTGTTTATGAAAAATTACAACACTATTTATGAAACTTACTACACTGTTTATGAAACTTAAAGATACTACACCTGTTTATGAAATTTAATGGTGCTACACCATTTGATGACTCTTCAGTTTGGCTGAAGAAAATCATTATAGATCCAGAGAGTCATCAATTTGTTTGAAGGCTATACCTTAGCAGACGAAGTTGCAATTTTGTTTGCAACTTTGCATATATATTCATACATGTTTCTCATCCTTTTGAAAAGGCATGTTACATCATACGTGGTGCATCAGACAAAAAGAATATGAAAACCCTATCTAAACAAGCAACATGCGGCATGACCGTGAGAATTATTTGTTTCGATCTATCCATTTACAAGCATCTTAATACGGTGATCATCTAATCATCCTATGTATGTGTTAATATAAAGAACAATGTAGTGATTATTCCATCATTCAATTGTACAGAATGTGAAAAGTGAGATTATGTTTAGCCATGTCAATGGAAGTAGGAGTGTGTTAAAATAAATAACAATGTAGTGACATTCCATCATTCAATTTTACTGAATGTGAAAAGCAAGATTATGTTTAACCGTGTCAATGAAAGTAGAATTGATCCATACGAAATATATCCATGGGTGTACAACTATAATTTTTCAAGATCAAAGGACTACATAGTCTACAACTTTCAGGTCCATATGCCACATCTTCTTCAGCCGTAGTCGTAAAACAAGAACATTAAATGATTTAATGAGTTCAAGTTATACTCTTACATGAACTTCAGAGCCAAGATTAACCAAAGTCCTAAGACTGGCCACACTATTTTTCTCCAAATTCTATACGTTCTTCCGCAAATCCGAGCTTTAATTTAAATAAAAGTCAAGAAAACACCTTCAACAACCAAAAATCACCAAATGGGATTGCATATCCAGATTGTCGAATTTAAAAAAAAAAAAAAAAATCACATTAATTAATCAAAATGAAAGAGGGAAATTGAAAGGATACTAAAATTTGTGTAGCTCGAACACCTTGTCTCTGCAAAACAAGAATCACTCCCCCCCCCCCCAAAAAAAAAACATAATTGTTCGTCGCAAGAATCTCCTGGCGGACGAGCACACAGCTCCCCTGGGAGAATGGCGTCGGTTGAGAGTATCTGTCATACTTCTGCTTTCTTCTCGGGCTCGCTCGGGCAAGCCTTTGTCGGGCAGATCTTGGTCGGGCAAGACACACTTCGGGCAAGGCTCGTCGGGCAGTTCTGAAAGAGAAGGACAGAGTTAATTTGAAAGGGTGCCTTTGTGGGGCCTTAGATGTAGGCCTTAAGGCTCACAATCAAGATTAACTTTGTCGTGCTCAGGCGTGCCACTGCCATCTTCAGTATGTATGGCAGATGTTGAATGGGTGTTAAGCTTTGATTGAATATGTATACGCCCGAGAAACCAGTTTAGATATAACAGGTGCCTTTGTGAGGCCTTAGGTATAGGCCTTGAGGCTTCCTGTCAAACTAAACCAGCGCTTGGATGTATCATATTTGGTCTTTTATGGTTGCCAGAGTCTTATCACTATTATACTTTTGATTATCTGAATCCAAGAGGTAGGACGAACCCAAATGAGTGCCTTTGTAGGGCCTTAGGTATAGGCCTTGAGGCTTCCCATCAGAGTTAATCCTTATAGTCGGACCAACTAGACCACAACATGAAATGAAGCTAAATAGATGCCTTCGTGGGGCCTTAGGTGTAGGCCTTGAGGCTTTCTATCAGAATTCACTCCCTGTTTAAGCATTTTCTACGAATCAAGATATAATAGCAACAAAACGGAGAAATAGATTGATTAATTGCGCCCCAAGTAACTTCGGACTTCTCGCTTATCAAGGATTGTCGTGGATGGGTTGAGTCCACATAGAGTTCTTTTTTATGCCTTGAGGCCAAGGACTTTTAAACTGATCTTTAAATTACACGCCCGCCGGGCTTAAGACTTAGATCTGATTTGAACTCTGACACGATTCAGATCAGATCGGATCCAAGTGCTGAAGACTCATTTTCATTATGACTTTGCTAGAAATAACTTGTATATAACTGGGAATATATAACATGTTATTGTGCTTTTAAAAGAAAGAAAAGACAAAGACAGAGCAAAGATAGTCGGGTAAGTTTGAACCTTATCGGCCAAGGCTGAACTTCTTACAAAATCTATCTTTGTGGCTCTGTCAGAGGTCTGAAAGCTTTTAGAGGGTTTTTGACGGGGGGAGAAGAGGATACAAAATGAATCGATACCACCATGAACAAGGTAGCAGAGCTATTACAGGGGTTTGGGAAGGTTTATCCCGAATGGGATGAAGGCTTGTGCTGACTACAGCTTCGTTGAAGGCAAATCTAGCTTGAGCAGAGTTTTGGCTTTTGTTTGTTTGTTTGAGTGTCCTTAATTCTGTCTTCTCTTCCTCCTTTTATAGACGACTTCAGCTTGGGTTCCTGTAGCAATAGAGGTTGCCCGAATGCGGTTTGGTGATGACTCACTAGCTTTTTTACATGAATGCCACCAATAAAGTACTTTATTGGGCTGTGTAGTGACTGAATAACCTACCCCCTGTGGTCTTTGAGCAGGTAAGCAGGTGGCCTTTGTAACTTGTGCCCAGCCGAAAGCCTCTTTCCTGCCTCCTAAGTTTTCCTCTGGGCTTTGGGTTTGGGCCGACTTTCTCTCTGGCCCAAAGTTCAGATTTTATCCCAAACAGTGCCCCCTTCAATTGATGTTAAGGTTGGGATCCCAAGCGCCAACATTAATTGAAAGAGACCCCTGTTTTAAACCCTTAGAACTCTTAAAACCCTTGTGAGTGAACTTCTCCGTTCTCTGTGTTTCGTAAAAAGAAAACCTTCTCTGATACAACAAAACTTCCTCAATTCTTCCATCATTTCTTTCTCGTTGTCCGACGAGGTTGCATCTTTACCGTTCTTCTTGTTTTTCTTCCCCACGGCCTTCATTAAATGGCCTCAGGATCCGGCCAAACCCTACCATCCTACGAGTCTGGTGAAGGAATTGCCACTCTACGCCGTCTGCTCAACGGGCTGCATCGTCCGCGGGCAGGTCTGCATTTTGAACTCTTCTTTGAGATGCATGGGGTTCAATCTTTGGGTCCTGCCTGGATTTCTCGGGTTCCCTCAGTAGTAGAAAGTAATATGCCTAGGGGAAACTGGTTTACCCCAAATCCTTATTTGGCCGACTCGGGCATTTCTTCTTCTAAGTGGTCTTTTCATCGTCGAGGCTTTCCCTTGATGAATGATCCTGCCTGGGCCCAATGGATTGACGAATTGGAACCTTCCTTCAAGCAGAAATGGATGAGTAACGGCATCTACGAACTGATTATGCTTTCGAAGATTTCAATTACTCCTAAGCCCGAATTGCTTACTTCTGCCCTCCTCTTTTGGAATACGGGCACAAACACCTTCGATTTCCGTATGGGTCCCATGTCTCCCACCATTCTTGATATGGCCCAAGTCTTCGGGTTGAGGCCATCGGGCAGGGTGATAGATGTTACTCAAGATTGGATTCCATCCTCTACCACCGGAGGCTCAAGTTCTTCCACCTACTTCCTTCCTCTCAGCTATAACTCAGTTACTTTCAAAAGTTATGGGACCTCCTTTAAAGGATTCATCCCTTTTGTCAAGAAGAACTTCGGGGCAGGCTCTCCTCAAACCGACAAAGATCAAGAGCATATGTACTTTCTTCTTTACTGGCTTAACAAGCACGTCTTCCCCAACAAATCCAAGGGGGTACGGGTAGAATGGATCCCCTTGGTAGAGGTTCTTCATAATTTTGATGACGTTGCCACAGGTCCATTCCTTCTCTCCCATCTCTATCACCTTCTTTTTGACATGACCCGGGATGAGCCCTTTGAGACCAATTTGAACGGCCCCATCTGGATGATACAGATTTGGCTACAATGGTATTTTCCAGAATTTCGGGCTATTAATCTAGAGTTTCCAGAGGGTGTGGCTCCTGCCCGAATCCTGGCTGAAGCTCCTCCTGTAGATCATTCCACCTTTGCATGCTTCTACTTTTTCCGAGTCTGCAGGACTCGATCAGACTTGGAATGGGGTGCATCGGTCTTGAGGAGATATCCTTGGTTTTCTGACCAAGCCTTCCAAGATGCCCCTGGTGAGGATGCTGCTCCCTTCTGCAGGGAAAAGTTTATCAGCTGTATTCAGCCAAGAGACTTGGCCTGGAGGGTCCGGGGAAATCGGTATGATCGAGGCTTGGAGGTGTATCATCCTAACTTCTGCAGCAGGCAACTAGGATTTAGGCAATCCATACCTGTCCCATTCTTCGACTCCATCCATTGTGGCACTTCATTTCGGTTACAGACTCCTTCTGAAGCAATATTTCGAGCTGCCCGCCGTAGTTTGGACGTGATGAGCCAAGCAGCCCGACATTCCGTTGTTCTTAATTTCGAATGTACCTCGCTGTTTTCCTCTTGGTGGGAGGAAAGGTGGACTAGAAAATACGGAGGAGATTTGAAAGTGAACCACGATCGCATTTTTAGCCAGCTTTCTCTTAAATCATATCCTAGCTCGGGCGAGCTTGCAAATTGGAAAGATATGATCCAAGAGAAAAACCGATTACTCCTAATAGGTGACTTTCTTCCCATCCGATTTTACTTTCCTTGTTGTTTACTTTCCTCACTCTTACCTGTTTCTGCAGCTTCAGTTGATATTGAATCCGAAGCCATCGAATCAGAGAATGATTCTGCTGATGCCGCAGTTCTCCATGGTGCTGCAGCAGAAGCTAAAAGGCGGGAAGCCGGGGAAGGGACAGACGTCTCAGAATCTCTTGGGGATTCAGGAGCCGAAGAAACAATTAAAGAAATAGCCAAGGATACGATCAAAGCATCTAAACGAAAGAGGGTGGCCATAACTAAAACCACAATCTCCGATCCGGCACTTCCTTCAGCAACCACACGACCAATTCTTACCCGAAAGAGTAAGCGGGCAAGAGTCACCGTGCCTCCTAAACCAGCAGCCCCATCTGCTCCTGTTTCTGAAGCGGGTAAAGAGACAGAACAATCTTCCAGTGAGTCTCTCCTCTTCTGGATCAAATGGCTACCTTTCTCCCTTATCTGATTATCCCTTTATCACTCAACAGGACCTCAAACTTCTAAAAGGTCAACCCTTGCTTCTAAGAAGGAATCACGAAGGGCTGCTACGCCTAAAGAGGTATGACTTCTATCTTTATACTTTCTTATTTTCAAACCTTTCTGAATTTTGAATAATTTGGCTTAGGCTACAAGGAAAGAAAGTCTTTCTCCGCAACCTACCCTAGATGCAACCCCTTCTTCTCAATTTGATCCTTCCACAGGAATCATGTTGCATTTTGTGGATGAGGATGATACTTTGGTGAGTTACTCTCTCTTTTCTTTTCAACTTTGCACATTGCTACCCAAGTAACTCCTATCCATGTTCTTTGCAGCCATCTTCGGGATATGAACCCCTTCCCCCGTCAGTGGCCTTGGATAAAGAACCCATAGTTCCTGAGATCCCTGTAGCTTTAGACACAACTACTTCGCAAGCGCTTACTCGCCAGACGGTCGATGAACCTCCTTCTTCTCCTCAAAATCAACCTCAGGTGCTGGAATATTTTCTTCTTGTTTCTTCCTCTGGTGACCTTTTGCTGATCATCACTACTTTCTTCGGATACAACCAGGATGTAGGCACGGGTTCAGGCACAACTTTCCCATCTGTCACTGGTGGTGAAAAATCTTCACCTCGACAAGGCGTTAGTGCATTCTATGGTGAAACCCCGGGGTTAAGTCAGGTAACTTTCTTCTCTCCAAAGCCTCTTTTGCTTTGACTTGTGCATAGTTCATCTTGTCCTGATCCTGAAGTTTTGTAGCGAGCTTCCCCAAAAGAAACTCCCCCTCCTCCAATGGCCTGTAACCCAAGGTGCTTTCAACCTCCTTCTTCCTCTGGAGATGTTGACACCTCCCTGTCTAGAGATGAACCAATTGAACAAACAGAAATTGCCCCTTCCATAGGCATTATCTCACCAGAAGAAACTGTTATGCCGGACCCTTCTCCTTCCTCCTCTGATCCTGCCAAGTTGCCCAAACTCTTTCGAAGCACTCGGGCGACTTGAGACGCGGTTTGAAGTCTTCAAAGTAGGCTTCAACAAAACATATGTCTTCGGAGCAGCAACAAATCTTTCAAACATGGGCAAAAAAAGAATTCACTGCATCATTTAGCCTCAAGGCTCTCTGTGACCTCGAGAGAGTCATTACTGAGTTCTTTAAAAAACGATCGCTTATCCAAGCCTCAGTATGATTCTTTCCTTTCTTTCTTTGAAAACTTGAGGGCCCTCAGGGAGCAACATCAGAGAGCAGACCGGCTGGCTAACCGGGCAAAATGCTTCATAGAGAGAGAATCGAGCTCCTCTACCCAAGTTAGTCGGCTGATGGAAGAGAGTATGCAGACCAAAGAACGGATTGAAGTTGTTTCTTCTGAAATTCAGAAGTTGGAGAGACCACTGATGATCCTTAAGGCGGAGCAAACAACTCTTCTGGATAACCTTGAGCAACAGATCGAAGGGGTGGAAAAAGCGACTTCAGAGTTAGAACAAACCAAGTCTGAACTTGTAAACAGCCATACTGTTTTGGCTGAACCAAATAGGATTTTTACCATCATGCGAACATACCATTCTAGAATAATCACCTTATGTGAAGATGTAAAGTTTTTGGAATAGAATTACTTTGTAATCTCTTTTTTGTTTTAGAATGGATATGTAACATTCCTCCTGTTCTGCTCCATTTGGATAGGCCTCAGGCAAATCTATGCCCTCTTGCCTACCTGCTTTTCTCCTCCATCTTTATTGTTGGCAATCTTAGCCCCTGCCCCCGGGTCCTTTCAATGGCATTTTACTCTGTTGATAACCCCGACTCCTTGAAAACGAGGTCGATCATGCTAATAGGAGCTTCGGGGAAAGGGTTAGTATCCACCATCATACTAGCCTGAGGTGAATCGAGTAGTAACTTCCCCTTCACTATAAGATCCTGTACCCAGTCCCTAAACTGGACACAATTGACTATAGAGTGGTTGAAGGTATAATGCAACTTACAATACTTCTTCCCCCTGAGTTCCTCGGGCTTGGGCATCTTTTTGGTGTTGTCGGGCAAAATGACTCTTGCCCGCACAAGTTCTTCATAGATTTCTGGCGCCTTGGTTAGATCGAAAGAATAACTTTGATACTTTGGGGGTTTCATGGGTACGAACCCACCATCATTCATCACGATCTTCTGGTCCTTGACTGGTTGGACTAACCCTTTGATCGTCAATGGATTGAAGGGTGTGGTCATCTCAGCAGCACACACATCTATACTCTTCTCCTCATGATCATCTTTGCATTTGGGTCCGGCTTCCCCTACCTCTACATGGTGAATAGTAGCTTTATTTTTGTAGAACGGAGGAGTTTTGGAAGTATGTTTTACCTGCTGTTCCTCCTGTAACAGCCTCTCATACTTAGTAGCAGCAATCACCAACTCTTGTAGCTCATTAAACTGTGCATCATAGAACCTTTTTCTCAAAGGTAATTTTAAAGCCCTTTGAGCAATGGATATGAGCTGTGCCTGGTTGACAGGGAACTGACATCTCATCCTTGTCCTTCTGAACCTCATCATAAAATCTTCGATGGACTCATGATCATATTGTTTCACTTCTACCAGATCATTAATGGTGAGCTCTGGCTCTATCCTGTAGAACTGTTCATGGAAAGCCATCTCCATTTGCCCCCAGTTAGCAATGGAATTGGGGGGTAATAGAGAATACCATTGAGATGCCAATCCTGCTAGTGAATTTCCAAACAACCTCAATTTGTAGTTTGGATTGTCCTCATACGCCACACAGTGATTAGAAAATTTGAAAATATGATCTCTGGAGGACACACTGCTATCTTCCCCTGTGAAAATCGGGAATGCGGGAATCTTGAAATTAAGAGGGAATGGATTTAACTCATCGATATATTCAGGATATGGCTTCTGGTAGGTAACCCTGAATACTGGACGAACTCGAGGCTGGACGTTTTGAATCACCGTTCTTCTTAACTCAGCCAATTCTTCTCTTAGTTGCTGAGTAGCTAAATTATCATTCTGGCCATGGATAGCTGACTCAATCTTCGGACTCCGGTCATTGCCCGCGTTTGCTTCCCTCCTGGTTTCAGATTTTCTCCAGTTAGATCCTCCACCTTTGTTGACCATCGGGGGTGGCCTATAAGGTAGAGGTTTATCTGACGTAGTAATGGTTGTTTCTTTCCCGCTAGTTTCTCCAGCCGTGGCTGGCAGTCCAAACTTCATTCTTTCTTGTTCGCTCTGCCTCCTATTATTAAATGATAATAATGGGAAGCTGAGAAACTCCTTTTCTGAAGCTGACTCCATCACTGCTTGACTTCCTTCAGGTATCACCTTCTTCTTTCCCCTATCCTTTTCTTCTTCTAGTAGTGGAAACAAAGGAATGATTGGCTCACTTCTTATAACAACTGGACTCATTCCACTTCCTTGAGCACCCTTTGGAGTAGAGAACTCCAAATCCAGCCTCCTTTGTAGATTTCCTGTAAGCATACAGAGTCTGCTTACTTCTCCCTTAGTCTCCAAGGAAATTCTTTCCATGCTTTTCAACACTTGGATCATTGTAGCTTGCAGTTCTTCATTAATCTCTTTCCCCTGTGATTTCTCAGATGTAGTCGAACTACCTGAGACCACCTGTCCGGATGGGGATAAAGGATTTTCTGATTGTTCTGTCATCTGGAAAAGATCCTTCTTGGCTTCTTTTTTGGCAAGTTTATAGCTTCTCTTTTTGGACATGTAAGATCTTAGAAGTGTAGCTGTTTCTTGTCCCACCGAGCGTGCCAAAACTATGTTCGTCGCAAGAATCTCCTGGCGGACGAGCACACAGCTCCCCTGGGAGAATGGCGTCGGTTGAGAGTATCTGTCATACTTCTGCTTTCTTCTCGGGCTCGCTCGGGCAAGCCTTTGTCGGGCAGATCTTGGTCGGGCAAGACACACTTCGGGCAAGGCTCGTCGGGCAGTTCTGAAAGAGAAGGACAGAGTTAATTTGAAAGGGTGCCTTTGTGGGGCCTTAGATGTAGGCCTTAAGGCTCACAATCAAGATTAACTTTGTCGTGCTCAGGCGTGCCACTGCCATCTTCAGTATGGCAGATGTTGAATGGGTGTTAAGCTTTGATTGAATATGTATACGCCCGAGAAACCAGTTTAGATATAACAGGTGCCTTTGTGAGGCCTTAGGTATAGGCCTTGAGGCTTCCTGTCAAACTAAACCAGCGCTTGGATGTATCATATTTGGTCTTTTATGGTTGCCAGAGTCTTATCACTATTATACTTTTGATTATCTGAATCCAAGAGGTAGGACGAACCCAAATGAGTGCCTTTGTAGGGCCTTAGGTATAGGCCTTGAGGCTTCCCATCAGAGTTAATCCTTATACTCGGACCAACTAGACCACAACATGAAATGAAGCTAAATAGATGCCTTCGTGGGGCCTTAGGTGTAGGCCTTGAGGCTTTCTATCAGAATTCACTCCCTGTTTAAGCATTTTCTACGAATCAAGATATAATAGCAACAAAACGGAGAAATAGATTGATTAATTGCGCCCCAAGTAACTTCGGACTTCTCGCTTATCAAGGATTGTCGTGGATGGGTTGAGTCCACATAGAGTTCTTTTTTATGCCTTGAGGCCAAGGACTTTTAAACTGATCTTTAAATTACACGCCCGCCGGGCTTAAGACTTAGATCTGATTTGAACTCTGACACGATTCAGATCGGATCCAAGTGCTGAAGACTCATTTTCATTATGACTTTGCTAGAAATAACTTGTATATAACTGGGAATATATAACATGTTATTGTGCTTTTAAAAGAAAGAAAAGACAAAGACAGAGCAAAGATAGTCGGGTAAGTTTGAACCTTATCGGCCAAGGCTGAACTTCTTACAAAATCTATCTTTGTGGCTCTGTTAGAGGTCTGAAAGCTTTTAGAGGGGTTGACGGGGGAGAAGAGGATACAAAATGAATCGATACCACCATGAACAAGGTAGCAGAGCTATTACAGGGGTTTGGGAAGGTTTATCCCGAATGGGATGAAGGCTTGTGCTGACTACAGCTTCGTTGAAGGCAAATCTAGCTTGAGCAGAGTTTTGGCTTTTGTTTGTTTGTTTGAGTGTCCTTAATTCTGTCTTCTCTTCCTCCTTTTATAGACGACTTCAGCTTGGGTTCCTGTAGCAATAGAGGTTGCCCGAATGCGGTTTTGGTGATGACTCACTAGCTTTTTTACATGAATGCCACCAATAAAGTACTTTATTGGGCTGTGTAGTGACTGAATAACCTACCACCTGTGGTCTTTGAGCAGGTAAGCAGGTGGCCTTTGTAACTTGTGCCCAGCCGAAAGCCTCTTTCCTGCCTCCTAAGTTTTCCTCTGGGCTTTGGGTTTGGGCCGACTTTCTCTCTGGCCCAAAGTTCAGATTTTATCCCAAACAGTGCCCCCTTCAATTGATGTTAAGGTTGGGATCCCAAGCGCCAACATTAATTGAAAGAGACCCCTGTTTTAAA